GATCATGCAGATGGTGCAGACAGCCTGCAAGTTTAAGCTGCAGGGCAGCACAGAGCCCCCCTTCAAGCGCATGTCAGGTCAGTTTAGACGTGCTCTACCTCTTAACCGGTGCTGGTAAACACTGAGGGTCCATTTCAGCTTGTGTCAGGTTTGGCGTTACACTCACTCGTCTTTTTCATTGAGCTGGGCGGCTTTGCCTCGAATGTTAGAATTTTTTTTCCCTCCCGCAGGTATTTGCCAATTAAAAGGCATTAAGAAACGATCCTGCCTATCATTTCTCCCAGAAAACAGTACAGCAGATTTGATAGTAATGCTAATGGATAGAACAGTACACAGGGTTACCAGAGGTTTGGTACAGAATAGGAATCCCACACAGTGAAGTTGATACAAACAGCAGGTGGGGATATGTGTTTAGGAATTGTAGATATGTCTTGTCTTGTTTTTACCTTTTCTCCTCTCCTGTCTTTATCTAGTGGTGTTTGAGGATCATGTCTTCATGGTGACCGTGTCTGGGCAGAAGGTCTTTGTGGTGAAACGGCAGAACAACCAGCGAGAGCCAGTTAACGTCTAGAGGTGTGAGGGTGGACCCGACGCTGCCCAGAGATGCCTTTTCTCCAAGCAGTAGTGGAATGAGGCACACCGGGAGCCAAACAGAACTGGGGGATTTTGTGGCACAGGCATATCCACTCTTGTGAAAGAGGATCGGAGACCTGGAAGGGGGGGGTTTCCACATGCTCCTGTGTCACAGTACAGCAGTCTGTTGAAGCTTTTGATATCACCTTTTGGTCTCGTAATGAATTCAGCAGTGTCAGCAATAAATTGATTTCTGGGCGTGGGCAATAATGTTAGCTTAATAATGCCTGCTGTGAAATGGTTAAAGGAAATATTAGTAAGTCTCATTTGCTCCATCACCTATTTGTGACCTGCACAGAATGTGCTGTGTGTATCTTAACTAATCCCATGCTGTTAAGTAACCGTGCTGCAACCCATTATATAAGCAGTAAAGCTTTATACTTTGTTCCAGTTTGTGCTTTTTTCCCTCAAGAAATATCCTGCATTTTTAATATTATCTGTTCATCCCATAACCATTGGAGACATCTCTTTTTCTCAACAGCTCCCATCCTTGTGGGTTTATGTGTATCCCTATATTATAAAGGGTGGAAGATTAGCAGTGTATATTTTGACCAGTTGAGTAAATACGTAAGTCAAAACATTCAGGTTTAGTCCTGAATACTCGGATAATGAATCCCAAAGAAAAGTCACAAGTACTGGACCTTACAATTTAAAAAGCTGTACCGCTTTTGCACAGTCAGCTGTTTAACTGTCTGCTTAATTATTGAACTAGGTTTTAAAATTAAGGAGCTAGTTTTACCAAAATTCTGTGAGGATAGTTTGGAAGAGGTTCTGTCTGTTTACCCCAACCAAATGCTGAAGAGACATACAGGACCAATGATATAAATCATGTTCTCATTCTCTTTTTGTGATAAGTCCTCTGTGGGCAGAATCACTTTAGCAGAATTATTTATTATTGTAGTTTAACTTTGTAATTGAGTATATTATTTGTCTGTTAAGGTTTGATCTTCAGCATAACTAAAGAATAAAGACATTGCTCTTTCAGCTTTTGTCTTTGTGTAATATATTCACCAAAATAATAGTGTGTGCAGCCCTTTCACGGATTGTATGTTTTGTTTTGTGTGGAAAGCAAGTGTTGTTCAAATAAAATGAATTCAGATAATTGCACTGGAAGCATTTTGCACAAAGTTATTTACAAACTAAAGTCATCTCCAGTACCAGGGTTTCTTAAACACTGGATTAATAATGACAGCAGAGTGCCAGGGGAAATGGAAAAGCTAATAATAGTTTCGAAACAAGCACACAACAAGCAAGCATGCCAAGAATCAGGCCAAAATGTAATGTCTCAAACATAAATTCCAGTTGTTTGAGCGCCAGAGGGTCTTTTAGCTTTCATACATACTAATTTGATTAGTAATTCAATGAACTAAACCGATGTAATTATCTCACCTCTAAACCAGCCAGTGATTTCAAGAGACCAATATGTGCTGGGCGGTGGCTCTTGGGAACAGAGGTCAAGAACACAATAAAATGGGTCTCAAACCCAGATCTTCTGTTTATTGTTCCAATCTGTATATTCCACTAAACAACCTAATTTAGAAAAGAATTAAGCATGTATAGGTAAAGATTTTTCTTAAGGTATTTTACAGTTGATTGTACAAGACATTCACTTCATTAAAGGCACAGGTACCTATAAATCATCATAGAGCCTGGTTAAAATTAATAACTTCAGAACTGTATTACATAATTAGACCAATTGAAGACATGGCTGGAACAAAGCAGTATAAAACTAGGAATTGAGTATAAAAACCCTGCTATAAAGCTAAAAGCATTGTTTAAATCCATCCATTTTCTATCAATATCTGTGCATCTGCCCATTATGCCTCCCTGCCTAACGAGCTCAACACATTTTATGCTTGGTTTGAAGCCAGCAACACAGAACCAGTCAACAGAGCTGCACCCTCCGCAGCTGACCAGGTGCTCTCGTTGTCTGCAGATGAGGTGAGGAGATCTCTGCTAAAAGTGAACACATTCAAGGCTGCGGGACCTGACGGCATATCCAGTCACATCCTCACAGCCTGCGCAAATCAACTGGCAGGTGTATTTATTCACAGGCATTTTCAACATGTCTCTGGCCTAAGCTGTCCCCACCTGCTTCAAGACAACCACCATCATCCGAATACCGAAGAAAACCACAGTGACATGCCTTAATGACTACCGCCCGGTGGCACTAACCCCTGTTATCATGAAGTGTGTCGAGAGGGTGGTCATGGGGCACATAAAGGACACCATTCTAGACACACTGGACCTGTACCAGTGTGCCTACCGGCCAACAGATCCACAGATGACGCAATCTCCATTGCCATACACACTGCCCTATCCCATCTTGATAAAAAGAACACATACGCAAGACTACTATTCATCGACTTCAGCTCAGCTTTTAACACCATCATTCCAGAGAAACTAGTCAAGAAACTCAGTACAATGGGTCTCAACACCACCCTCTGCAACTGGATTCGGGACTTTCTGACAGGCTTGGAAACCACAGCTCTGGCACACTAACTCTGAGCACCGGGGTCCCCCAGGGGTTTGTGCTTAGTCCATTGCTCTACTCCCTCTACATGCACGACTGTAAGGCCAAACATAACACCAACTCCATCATCAAGTTTGCCGATGTCACCACAGTTGGAGGTCTGATTACAGACAATGATGAGAGGGCCTACAGGGAGGAGGTCAATCTCCTTACAACATGGTGTGAAGACAACAGCCTCACCCTTAACGTCAGCAAAACCAAGGAGCTGATCGTTGATTTCAGAAAACTGCAAAACGGTCATACCCTATCCACATCAACAGGGCTGAAGTGGAAAGGGTCAGAAACCAGAAACTTAAATTTCCTTGGCGTCCATATCACCAAGGACCTCACATGGTCTCTCAATGACACTTGTCTGATTAAGAAAGGACAACAGCACCCGTACTTCTGAGAGCTAGCTAAATAGCATTTCATTTTAACATATACCTGTGTATGAGTATAATGACAATGAACTTGAACTTGAACTTGACCTCTATCCAATAGGGCGTGAGGGACACAGAGCCTATCCCAGCAAGCAACGGGCTCAAATAAGGATACACCCTGGACGAGACGCCAGTCAATCGCAGGGCAGACAGAGATACTGATACACACGGCAAGCCAAGTTTCGCAGAATCCAATTAACCTACCAGTATTTTTTTGGGCTGTGGGAAGAAATCGGAGAACTCAGAGGAAACTCACATGAACACTGGGAGAACATAGAAACTCCACAAAGATAGCATCCCATCCCATGAATTGCTACCCACTGCCACCATGCCAACCTAATTTAAAAATACCTTTTTTAATGTTCTGAAATTTGTAATTCTTCCAATTTTGGTGAGAATTACAAAACAAAAGTTTTTTAAAAGGATGGTGCGATGGATCAGAGTAGGATACACCGGCCAGCAAAACACAACTAAGCCCTAAATATTAACAAAGTTCACATTTATTTTAATGTCAATTTTTCAGCAATGAAACAATTTCTAGAGCTACAACAGAGCTGTATGAAAGAAATCTGTTGGGTTGGATGTTAATGGGAGGCTTATACAATGGATTAAGGATTTTCTAACAGATCTCCCTCAGGAGGTTCTTATGAACAATACATTTTCAAATGAAATTGTTTAAAATACTGATGTTCCCTAGGTCTGTTTTGTGACCGTTACTATTTTACATCTATACAAATTAAATTAATATGCAGAGAATTTAATTGGTCTACTACATCCTACTAGATGGCCCTTGTTTAATGGGGATGATACAGAAGGAGTAGAGAATTAATGTGAACAGACGTAAACTAGAAAGATGGTGTCAAGTGAACCATGCTTCATGTCAATGTTGATAAAACCAAAGAACTGGCTACTTGTGATAGTAATATGTCAGATTTTTAATTTCTCTCCCTTACTAATCAGCCTGTGGAGGCTGTTTAGTTTTTAGTGTTTCAAATACTTAGGAACAGTAATAGATGAACGTTTAAGCTTTGCAAAGAATACGAATGACATTTTTAAGAAGTCAGGATATATTTTTGATCAGGAAGCTGAAAGAGTATAGGGTGAGTCAAAATTCTAAAAGAAGGTTTATAGAATGTTGGTAGAAAGCATCTTTACTTTTGGTATTACTGTATGAAAGCTGGAGGATTAAGAGCAAGGGAAAATTGGCCAGAATTGTTAATATTGCTAGTAAAATTATTGGTCAGCCACAGAAACAGCTTAAAGAGCTGTATTATACTACAGTTCCAAAAAAAAGTCAAGTTATGCTTGAGGAGACTTCCTTCATTTCTATTTCCAATTGCTAACTTCAGGGAGGTTTTTGAATGCCTGTGGCCAAGAAATATGTATACAAAAAATCCTTTATGCACTGTGCAATCTCTATATTAAACACAGCTAAGTGACTGTTTCCTGAAAGAAGCTATCAGATTACTGGTTGTGTAAGATGGGCAGAGAAATGTGTTGTTTGTTGTCTACAACTATTGTTTGTTTTTAAATGGTATTTTTTGTTATGCTGAGTGTTATTTGTTGTTTTTTTTTGGAGTTTTGTATAATCCTTTGAAGACAAATTTACACCCTTTTGGAAGGACAATTACACTAAGTTACATCTTACCGATCAGAATAAGTGAGGAATCCATCATAGCTGAAACTCATTAAAGAAAAAAAAAATAGTAATACTATTACAATTATTACTAATACTAATTCATTACCATTACTATGGTAATGGAGTGCTCAGTATAGAACAAATTTATGTGGAACAAGGTAATGGGTAATCAGCTAAAGCCCCTTTATCACCCACTGCTAGGATGTTTTAGAACATCTCTGTCATGAAGACATCTCTGACATGGCCAGCATGAATTGGGGCGACGATGTAGGTGTAACAGACCAGGGGGAGTGGCTGGCTCACAGCACCTCGAGTGTAAGAGAGGCTAGAACAGATCAGCGCCAGTCTGTGGCAAACCGTCCACTTCCTTCTGCCAGGCAGAGTCCGGGAGCAAGGGGCCTCCAGGGTGTTGAAGCCTCCAGGCCTCCATTTTTGTTCCGTAGGAAACGTTTAATGCACAATAAAAACTAAAGAACCATAATTCCAAGGGTCACCCAGTGTTGTTATTACAATTCAACAACATTGATTGTCTGTAATAGCTCTACTTATTTCGACAAAATATAAAAAACAAAAAGTTGTAATAAACAAAATAGAAATCTGGTCAATAAAAAAGACAACGTGTAAAGTTTGATATGTTTAATTTGAAAACTCGCTTTGAAACTTCATAATAGAATCCATTATTATTCTGATTATTGTTATCATGCTCAAATAAAATACTGTATTTTTCTGAATTAAAATTAAGGGGGTTATGACTCTTCTAAAAATTCTTCTTTTTGTTAGTGGAGTAGTAACCCCTTTTATTTTAATTCAGGAAATGACAGTATTATACCCGAGAATTAATTTGTAAGTACAGTGCTGACAAAAAGATTAACAAGGTGAAACATACTGTACTCCTCTGGAATATCACTCTGCCGAACAGAGTTCAGACTAACACACATCACAAATTGAGATGCAGTATGTTGGCATAGATCCCTTGTAACTAAGAGATCCCTCTTCTTAATTTACCTTTCTCTCTCTGACTCACTTTCAGTTTTGTTTCTCCTTGTCTACACCATAGGGCCTAGCTGAATTGATTATTCAATTACTATCGCTCTTTCTTAGTCTGGCTAAAAAATACTGAACTTTAGGTCTTTATTCAAAGTGTGTTCTGATTAAACCCTAGACTCTAGTTTTCTAACCATTCTCAGCTCGGAACTTCAAACATTTAAAGATCTTTTAATTGGCTGCTTTGATCCAGGACTGAGAATTACAGTATACATCC